AGCCAGCCCCGGCCAGCTCCCCGGGGCCGGCAAGCAGCCTCCTTCCTCACCAGACTGCCCGCACGTCCCGTCTGCTTCTCAGAGCCTCGGAGCTCCTGTGCAGACTCTCAAACCTCCCGCTGGCCCTGCCCGTCCCGCCGAGCCCCTTCCTGCAGAGACCGCGGCCGCCCTGTCCTGAGGCCTGAGGCTGTGCTCCGGGACAGGCCGCCACGCCCAGATGTGCGTGATCCTCAGCGATGCTGGTTCGCCCTCGGGTCTCACCCGTCCTCGGCAGACAGGCGATGAGATGCCCGTCTGAATCCTCAGGGGGTCTGCACACCGGCGTCCCCTCCCTGCGTGGCCGCGGGGCCAGGAGGGGCGGAGAGGGTGAGGTGAGGGGAGTGCCCTCGGGGTCACCTCCAGCAGCCCTGCTTGGGGGGGCGGGGATGGGGCGTGGGTGCTGAGGGGGATGGGGAGCCCAGGCGCAGAGCCAGCGGCGGGGTCTTCATGGAGCCGGGGATGGTGTTGTGGCCTGGAGACCCTGGATCTCCTCCTGGGAGGCCCTGTCGGGGAGCAGCACCTCCACGGAGTAGCTGACCTTCTTGGCATGCACCAGGCTGTAGGTGTTGTCGAAGCGCAGGACGTCTGAGAAGGCGGAGAAGTAAGTCGTCAGGGTCAGGGTCAGGGTCAGGGTCAGGGTTAGGGTTAGGGTCAGGGTCAGGTTTAGGGTCAGGGTCAGGGTCACGGTTAGGGTCAGGATTAGGGTCAGGGTCAGGGTTAGGGTCAGGGTTAGGGTTAGGGTCAGGGTCAGGTTTAGGGTCAGGGTCAGGGTCACAGTTAGGGTCAGGGTCACGATTAGGGTCAGGGTCAGAGTTAGGGTCAGGGTCAGGGTCAGAGTTAGGGTCAGGGTCAGGGTGCAGGCCCGGTGCCCTGGGGAACTGGCCGCCCCTATGGATGGGGCTGGAGAGTCAGCCACCGCCCAGCCCCCCACCCCTTGCTCACGGCCATCCATCTCTTTGGATGATGCTTGTGCTCATTAAAGAATTGAGAACAGCCTGGCTGGCCCTGGCCAGCTTGGCTCAGTGGATAGATAGAGCGTCAGCCTGCAGACTGAAAGGTCCCAGGTTCGATTCCAGCCAAGGGCACATGCCTGGATTGCGGGCTTGATTGATTCCCAGTAGGGGGCGTGCAGGAGGCAGCCAACCCATGATTCTCTCTCATCATGGATGTTTCTATCCCTCTCTCCCTCTCTCTCCCTCTCTCTCCCTCTCCCTTCCTCTAAAATCAATAAAATATACATTAGAGGTGGGGGGGGGGAAGGAAAGGAAAGGAAAGAAAGAATGAATGAATAGCCTGGCAGGCAGGTGTTGCTCAGTGGTTGAACGGAGATCTATGAACCAGGAAGTCACGGTTCGATTCCCGGTCAGGGCACAGGCTCAGTCCCCCGAGTGTGTGAAGGGGGGATTGGGGGGGAGGGGCAGGCAGGGGGTGCAGGAGGCAGCTGATCAATGATTCTCTTATCATTGATATTTCCATCTCTCCCTCTTCTTTCCTCCCTGAAATCAATAAAAATAAATAATAATAATAATAATAATAATAATGCCAAGAGAGAAGCCAGATTGGCCACACGTGTCAGCCCAGCCCTTGGCCAGGAGAAAGAAAACCACGCTGGTGACACACACACACACACACACACACACACACCCCAGCTCTTACAGACGCCGGCCTGGGGGCAGGTGAGGCTGCCGTCCTCGGGCACCAGGTGTGCGTTGTAGCGCTGGCTGGGCAGCACCTCGGCCATCTCCCCTACCCGCTGCCGCTCCCCCTGCCTGGTCTTCAGGAAGATGCCGAAGGCAATGTCCGCCCCGTCCGACTCAAACTGCCACCTGCAGGGGACAGGGCCGCTGAGGGCCACCTGCAGGGGACAGGGCCGCTGAGGGCCACCTGCAGGGGACAGGGCCAGGCTGAGGACCACCTGCAGGGGACAGGGCCAGGCTGAGGACCACCTGCAGGGGACAGGGCCAGGCTGAGGGCCACCTGCAGGGGACAGGGCCAGGCTGAGGACCACCTGCAGGGGACAGGGCCAGGCTGAGGACCACCTGCAGGGGACAGGGCCAGGCTGAGGACCACCTGCAGGGGACAGGGCCAGGCTGAGGGCCACCTGCAGGGGACAGGGCCCGCTGAGGACCACCTGCAGGGGACAGGGCCCGGCTCCTCCCGCTGAGCCCGGTGTGTGTGCCCACTGCCCTACCTGAGCACGCAGCCCGGGAACAGGATCTCCAGCTCCACCTGCAGCGAGGAGCCGCGGCCCACGGTGGCCGTGTGCTCGTAGGGCACGCGCACCCGGCTGTGCTGGTAGTAGCTCCTGGGCACTTCGCCCCCATAGTTGATCTGAGGGTGAGGCTGGGTGAGTGGGGTCGCCACCATCACCCTCCCTGCTCCCCATCCTCCGGGCACCCCCCCTACCTTGGTCAGGCACTTGGGGTTGCCATCGGGGTCGGTCAGGGTCCCCCCGAACTCCACAGGGAGCTGGTCGGGGCTGATGAACTTGGGCAGCTCTTGCTTCCAGTTGCCTGAGGGAGCACAAGGGAGGCTTGACCCAGGCAGAGGGGGCCAGGCCCTGGGAGGGACCCTGATGTGCTTGCCCCTGGGATGCCTACTCATGAGAACACCCGAGAGCGTGACATGGCCACCTAGGCTGGCGTCTGGGCCCAACGCCTTGTCTGAGTGTGCAAAGGCCAATGGAGCCAGGCCAAGCTCAATGCCAATGGAGTTGGACCAAGGTCAAGACCAATAGAATTAGGCCACGGTCAAGGCCAATGGAGCCAGGCCAAGGTTAATGTCAATGGAGCTGGGCCAAGGTCAAGGCCAATGGAGCCAGGCCAAGGTTAATGTCAATGGAGCTGGGCCAAGGTTAATGTCAATGGAGCTGGGCCAAGGTTAATGTCAATGGAGCCGGGCCAAGGTCAAGGCCAATGGAGCCAGGCCAAGGTCAAGGCCAATGGAGCCGGGCCAAGGTGAAGGCCAATGGCGTCAGGCCAAGGTCAATGCCTGGGTAAAGAGGATGAGCCAGAGAGAAATGGGGACGTGAGCACTGACCTTGCTTTCTGGGCAGATGGGGAGATGGGCACAGCAGGGGGGCCACGTCACTCACCTCCCAGAATCACGATCTTCCGTCGCGTCTCCTCACTCATGAACGACTTGACCAAGTTGAAGGCCACAGGGAACAGCTTGGGGGCTGAGACACAGGGAAGTCCCTTGGGAAACTGGCCCAGAGAGGACTTGGGAATTGAGGTAAAGTTCCACGCAAGGGCAAGGGCCGGACAGGAATTAGATCTGGATTCTGACTCTTCGTGCTGTGTGGCCTTCAGCTAGTTGCTCGCCCTCTCTGAGTGCTCGTGCTGCTAACTGTAACCACATAGACCAGAGGTTCCGCTTACGAGCGCAGGCCTAACGCTTGGCACAGAGCCTGGCTCTCAGCCCAAGGCTGGCTTCCCTGTTCAGCGGCAGGAGTGCTGATTCCCCAGCGGCTGCCTCTTCTTTTCCACACCCAGGGGTTCCCAGGTTGCCTTGGGGTCCTCTTGGGTGCAAGTAGGTGGGGCACCTGCCTTTGGCCTCAGGTCCCACTTGCATCACCCACACTCACTGGGACCCGTCTGTGGGTCAGGCTCTGTGCTACACCTTCTCCACAGAAGGTCTCATTTAGCCTCACAGCTGTCTTGCGGTGAAGGTGCCATCACATCCCCATTTGACAGAATGGGAAAACTGAGGTTCAACAGGCTCGCTCCAAGTCACAGAGCTAGCTAGGTTGGAAGCCAAATCATCTTACCCAGAGCCCATACGGTGATTCCCCCCCCCTCAACCCCACGGTTGTCACAGACAGGGGCCATTCCTGCCCAAAGTGTGTCCACCGAGCCCTGTGGTCCACAGACCATCCGTTACCGTCGCACACCCAGGTGAGTAAAGAAAGTAACAGCAAACATTTAGAAACTTACAACTTATTTGACATTGCTGCACAGGCTTTTGTATAACCCCGACATATCAGCCTGGGAAGCACTGAGCTAAAACATCCACACACCAAAAACAAACAAACCAACAACAACAACAAACAATCTTCACAAAGGATGGTTTCAGAAGGCCTGAATGTGGCTTACCCATTGCACCCCCCCCCCCTGCATCCTCCACCCCCTCCCCGCTGCCCCATTAATCCTCACCTCGAACAATGATTAAATTCTTCAGTGTCTCGGGATAATTCGCTTCGATGATGGAGAAAAACTGTGAAGTCAAGAAGAGTCTGGCTGAGGCCACACCCCGACATTCCTGCCGGGATTGGTGGCCTCCGAGGCTGTGGGGACGAGAGCCCCCATCCCCCTCATCCCTAGTCCCCTCCCCCTACCCTTCCCATGAGCATCCACTACGTCCTCCGTGCTACTCCTGCTCCCCTTTCTCCTCACAGGGGGTGCCCCAGGTCGGCGTCTCTGACTGCTCTGTGGGACCCCTGGGCGGGGGGCAGGGGATGGGGTTCCCCCTCCTCCGTGGGCTCAAGCGGGTGTGGGCAGTGGCTCCCTAGGGGCCTCGAGCCAGCCGCTTACCTTACCTGCTGGTAGACCTCCACCGCTGGCTTCCACAGGTGTTTCAGGCTCAGCCCCTCCAAGTCAAACACCATCAGCACCGTCTCGATCTTCCTGCCCAGCTGCATGGGGTGGAGCAGGCGTAGACAGTGAGTGGCCCAAGGATGAGGATCTCTGAACGCATAATAATCTGGCCACTAGTGTGTGTGTGTGTGTGTGTGTGTGTGTGTGTGAATTCATGCACCGGGCCTCTAATATATGTTAGAGGCCCGGTGCATGAATTCATACATGGGTAGGGTCTGGCCAGCCTGGCCAGGGGGAGGGGACATGGGTGGTTGGCCGGCCTGCCTGCTGGTCGAACTCCTGGTCGAGGGGACAATTTGCATATGAGCCTTTTATCCTATAGGATACACACTGAGTGGCCAGATGATTATGCGTTCAGAGATCATCATCATCTGGCCACTCAGGGTAGGTCGGACAAGAGGAGATGCAGGTCACAGAGACCTGGGCCGGCTCCTACCTTCCTGCCACCCCCGCCCCTGGCTGCCCACAGTGTTTTTCAAGCAGATGCACCTGCCTCAGCTCTGAGATGATTTAAGATTCATGGAAACCCTGCCATGAGTTAGCTGTGGGATTAAAAATCATTGCTCCTTCCCTGGCCGGTTTGGCTCAGTGGATAGACCGTCGGCCTGCGGACTGAAGGGTCCTGGGTTTGATTCCAGTCAAGGGCATGCACCTTGGTTATGGGCACATCCCTGGTGGGCAGTGTGCAGGAGGCAGCTGATCGATGTTTCTAACTCTCTATCCCTCTCCCTTCCTCTCTGTAAAAAAATCAATAAAAAATATATATTTTAAAATATTACCGCTCCTTAGTCACTGGGCACCTTCGGAGACAACAGCATACACAGCGCTGTGCTGTGGGCAGGCTGTGTGGCCTCAAGTTCACAGGTCAACCCTCAACCACTGAGCCGCACCGGCTGGGCCTGGTGCCACCTTTTAGACAAGAGTGGGTCTAACCTGACCCCCTTCCCCATCCCTTCTCCCTGCCCCCCAATGCTCCTCAGCCCCTGGCCCTGGCCCCTCACCTTCTTTCTATATAATTGATTTTCCACAGAGAGGAAGGAAGAGGGGTAGAGCATTAGAAACATCGATGAGAGAGAAACATTGACCAGCTGCCTCCTGCACACCCTCTACCGGGGATGTGCCCGCAACCAATGAACATGCCCTTGACCGGAATCGAACCTGGGACCTTTCAGTCCGCAGGCTGACACTCTATCCACTGAGCCACACCGGCTTCGGCCGGCCTCTCACCTTCTGGCTCTGCAGCTCGCACTCCTGCAGCAGCCGCTCGCAGACCTTGATGCGCTTGCGGATCAGCTCCTGCTTGGAGGCGGACAGGAGCAGCCCCTTGGGGTCCAGGCCCCCGATGATGTCGAACCACACGGGGCAGCCCTCGTAGTCGTAGCCACACAGGCCGCCCGAGTCGTAGCGCTGGACCACCTGGGCGAGGGGCTGGCTCAGATCGGCCCCTTCCCGCCCCCCCTCCACGGGCCACGTCCCTGTGCCATCCCTGAGCTGGACATGGGCGGGGCGGGGGGTGGCCACACGGCCTGGGGGTGGGTGGGGCTCACCTCTGAGGGCTGCCACGTGAGGATGTGGTCCAGGTCCTGCTGCTTCCGGAACTCGATGTGCTGGGGGGACAGGGCGGGACCTGGAGGCTGCGAGCCCCAAAGGTCCCTCTGCTCCCAAGGCCCTGCCACCGCGTCCCCGGGCTCTGCCTACACTGAACGGGGTGGCGGGGGGAACAGGGGAGCGGGGAGGCACCAGGAGCAGGACCGTGGGGGGCCTGGATCCGATGCCGAAAGGGATCCGAGGGGGGTGGGGGGGAGAAGACAGCAGGACGGGGCGAGGGTCCCCCGCTTTGTGGCCGATCCCTGGGGTGCCGCCTGGGGGAGGCGGCGAGCGCGGAGAACGGGCCTCACCTTCCGGAGCATGTCCTCCGCCTTCTTCAGGTCAAAGTTCTGAGCTGCGGGGAGAGGCGAGGTCAGAGGGCGCGTGGGGCCGGATCTACAACACGCTTTTCTCTGAAAACCCATGAGGACATTGTGGGGGGGCCCCTGTCTGTCCCTGACACCCCAAGGATACACGGGATGGAAAGTCTGGGAACATGGGAGGATCCAGAAGGCTTTGGAGAAAGTCTTTATCTCAGTTTGCAGGACATTTTATTTATTTTTTATTAAATATATTTTATTGATTTTTCCACAGAGAGGAAGGGAGAGGGATAGAGAGCTAGAAACATCATTGAGAGAGAAACATCAACCAGCTGCCTCCTGCACACCCACCACTGGGGATGTGCCCGCAACCAAGGTACATGCCCTTGACCGGAATCGAACCTGGGACCCTCCAGTCCGCAGGTCGATGCTCTGTCCACTGAGCCAAACCGGTTTCAGCTGCAGGACTTTTTAAACTCTTCATTCTAGATGTTGGTCTCACCCTGAACCGGCGGCTCAGTTGGTTAGAGCCTCGTTCCGATATGCCGGGGGCTGTGGGTTCGATCCCCGGGTGAAGAGTTGGGTTTTGGAGTCAGGATGATTTGGGCTTGAAGTCTAGTTTTGTCCTTTTTAAGTATATATTTTATTGAGTTTTTTTACAGAGAGGAAGGGAGAAGGATTGAGAGGTAGAAACATGGATGAGAGAGAAACATCGATCAGCACTACCGGGGTGTGCCCGCAACCAAGGTATTATACATGCCCTTGATGGGAATCGAACCTGGGACTCTTGAGTCCCCAGGCCAACGTACTATCCACTGAGCAACACCGGTTTTGTCCTTTTATTTGCTGTGCAACCTTAAGCAAATAGCTTAAATTGTGAGCCTTAGTTTTATAATCAGTTAATGGGAATAATATGATAATATGTTTGTTGTTGTTAACCCTTACCTGAAGATATTATTTTCCATTGCTTTTTTGAGAATGGAAGGCAGGAAGGAGAAAAAGAGAAAGAGAGAGAGAAAGAGAGAGAGAGAGAGAGAGAGAGAGAGGAACTTAGATGTGAGAGAGGTGCATCGATTGGTTGCCTACCACATGCACCCTGATCAGGGCCAGCAATCAAATCTGCAACCTAGGTACATGCCCTTCACCGGGAATCGAACCCACAACCTCTGATGCACAGGCTGGGGCCCTGACCTACTGAGCCACCGACCAGGCAGGAGTAATACCTTTTTCAGAGTTACCCAAGGTGCTTGCCACATGACCTGGCTCACAGTCAATTCTCACTGCCTGGCAGACAGTGTGGTGGTTACCGATTTTGGATAAATTGCTCTGAGACTGCTGGCTCATGGGGAATTCGCCCTGAGATGGGCCTTCGGGGAGACACGGGGGCAGAGGTGAAGGAGCCGGAGACACCACAAGGCCTCCTCGGCCCTGGCCGGGACCCGCCTCCAGAGAAAACCCACAAAGGCCGCCAGCTCTGCCCCGAGGATCAAGTTCAAAACCCGTCCCCCGGGGCGTGCTGAGTCCACATCGCTGTGGCTTCTGTTATTCTAACCGCGTTACGCTGGCTCAGCCATTCCTGGGAGAAACGCCCCCGCCTCTCATTACGCCCGAGTCCTGGCCTGTGTGCTCGGTGCCAGGTTCTCTACGGGGGCACACAGCCTGGTCTGCAGGGGCCTGGAGGTCTGGCCCACGGCCTGGCCAGGCCCGCCATCCCAGGACCTTCGAGGGAGGTGCTGCCTGGGACCTCACCTCGGCCCCCTGCCCACCGGTGCCAGGCTCCTCTCCCGTCACTCACAGCCGCCCCCGGGGCGGCCTCGGCCCACGTGTGAGATGAGGAAACCGAGGCTCCGGGGTGTTCTCTGCCGTGCCTGCCGGAAGGGGAGCACAGATTCTAGCCCAGAGTGGGCCGGCTCCAGAGCCTGGGTCCTTTTTTCCTTTTTCAAACACACCGAGTGGCCAGACTATGATGATCTCTGAACGCATATCCTATAAATATATATATCTTATATAATAAAAGTGTGTGTATCCTATGTAATAAAAGGCTAATATGCAAATTGTCCCCTCAACCAGGAGTTCAACCAGCAGGCAGGCCGGCTAACTGCCCGTGTCCCCTCCTCCTGGCCAGGCTGGCCGGACCCCACCCATGCACGAATTCATGCACTGGGCCTCTAATACACACACACACACACACACACACACACACACACACACTGAGTGGCCAGATTATTGTGTGTTCAGAGATCATCATAATCTGGCCGCTCATTGTATATTTTTATTGATTTCAGAGAAGAAGGGAGAGGGAGAGAGAGAGAGAGAAACATCCATGATGAGAGAGAATCATGGATCAGCTGCCTCCTGCACATCCCCTACTGGGGATCAGGCCCATAACCCGGGCCTGTGCCCTCACCGGGAATCACACCCTCACCTCCGGGTTCCTAGGCCGATGCTCCGCCACGGAGCCACACCAGCCAGGCTCAGAGCCCGTGTTCCTTACCGCCCTGCCCCCAAGTCCCCCACCCCCTCCCGAGGCCCTCACCTCGCAGCCAGCGCAGGAGGAAGTGGGCATCGACCTTGGGCAAGGTGGGCAGCAGGTCCTGGAGGTTGTCCTGGAACTAAGGGGGGGGGGATATGGTTGTCAGGGGGGCTGCCATAACCCCCATCCCCATCCCCATCCCGGACCCCGCGCACCCCCATCAGCCAGTCAGCCCGGCCCGGGACCCTGCCCGGGGACCACACAGTCCACAGCCGCCGCCTGTTTCGTTTCGCCACCTGGGAACGGAGCACACCCACCCCTCCCGCCCCACGGGCAGGGGGACCTGCGTCCTTCTCACACGTGGGGGATCCCTGTCCCCCAAGACCCTCCCTCTGTCAGTCCGAGGGGGGACCCTGCCGTTCCTCTTTCTGCAAAGACCCCGGGTGAACCGGACGCGGGCCAACCAGAACATCCTAGGAGCGCTGCCCCTGATGCTGCGTCTACGATTTGAAATATGTTTTCATCGACGTCAGAGAGGAAGGGAGAGGGAGAGATGGACTCATCGATCATCGTGAGAGAGAGCCATGGATCGGCTGCCTCCTGCGCGCCCCCTACTGGGGATGGAGTCCGAAACCCAGGCATGTGGCCTGACCGGGAATCGAACCCTGACCTCCTGGTTCACAGGTCCACGCTCAACCACTGAGCCCTGCCAGCTGGGCTCCTTTTCCTTAATTTTAAATAACAATAACACTAAGAATACTCTCCTTCCGTTGACACTTAAAAGCCGGTGTACGGTCCCTCCTAGGGTCTTAGGGGCCTGGCTTCTCTGAGACCATTGCCAGTGAGGGAGGAGGAGGGGGAGGGGGAGGGAGAGGGGAGGGGAGGGGAGGGGAAGGGTTCATGAGGAGACCCGCTGTCTTTCCCGTGAGGACCCTGCCTTCATCTGGGACCCTCTGCTCCTGGAACCTCCTCCTTCTCCTGGGGATCCCCCCGGGGCCCCCACCCTTCACCTGGCACCCATCTCTCCTCCGGGAGGAATTCACTCCGGCCCCTCCTTCCCCAGGGCCCCCAGGTCCTCGGAGGGGAGGAGCCGAGGCTGCCCTTCCCTGCCCCAGTGCCAGCCAGGGCTGTGCCCTCCCCCTCTCCCCTCTCCCCCCCCCCCCCCCCCCTGCCCTGGGGCACAGCTTCCAGCCTCTGGCCCCCTGCAGACCCCATTCCTGCTGTGGCCCCTCAGACCTGGACGAGCCAGGCCTCTCCCCGGTGTGGCCTACACCCCATGGACTCTTGGGAGATCACCCCAACCCCTCCATCCCCCCCTTAATGAGAACGCTGGCAGCCTCGAGAGGCGGCCTGGGACCCGGTGAGTCACAGAAGCCAAACACATGTCGCAATCAGGGCGGGACAACTGGGAGTCTGTTTGCCCTGAACTGCCCGGAGCAGGACTGCAGAGGGGGCGGCAGAGGGGGCAGGGGCCCCCACCCCTCCCCTCCCCTTCCCGCCCCCCACCCCCAGCGGGGAGCAGGCGCCAGGGGGCTCCGTGGCCCGGGAGCAGCAGGCGTGGGAGCTGGGTGGGGCCCCAGGGTGGCCCAGATAAGGGCTCCTGCCCCGCGTCCTGTCCACAGCGGCCGGAGCTCCAGGCACAGGTGCCCAGGGCGGGACAGGGCGCTCTCCGGGGTCTCCTTTCCCCTCCCGGCAATAGGGGCTCCGGCATCAGGCGGCTGGGTGGGGCGGGGGGCGGGGGGGACCAGCTTCCCGGCCACGGGCCCCCAAGAAGCTCACCCTGGCCAGGGCCTCCTGCTGCTGGGGGCTCAGGTCCCCGACACGGCCGCTCATGGTGCCCGGGGCGCCGGCCGCTGCCGCTCTGGGTGCTCCCGGCGCCGGCTCTTGGCCCTCAGGTCCGATGCCGGCCCGCCCCCCGACGGGAGAGCCCGGACCGCCCCGCCCCGTCTGTCCCGCCCTCTGGGGTGTCTGCCATCGGCTGTCCCCAAGGTGCACCCTGGCGGGGCCAGGAGGTAACCCTCCCCCTGAAGCAGACGTCACTGAGACAGCCAGCGCCCCCACCTCCAGGCTCCTCTGCCCAGGGGCTCCCACTGGCTCCCACAGGGCAGGGAAGAGAATGGGGGGGGCACCAAGGACACCAGCCAGTTTCAGGGATCCCCTCCCAGCAAAGACGGGGCGCTTTTAGGAACGTGGTTCAGCCCTCGAGGTGGCTCCCGGGCCTTTCTCCCCAAGGGCCCCCCCACCCGCTTCCCCTGACCCCGAAGGCAGGCTCCACACTGGCCGTGCTCCCCTGCTGATAGGAGAGGCCTCTGTCAAAGGGCTGCAGCCTTCAAGATGGCCGGGAGGATTAGCCAGGTGCCTGCCGCCGGGGGCTGGCCTGGCCGGGCACACCGGTGCCCACAGGCTGGTAGGGGCATTGCTTCCTCTGTCAGCAGAGCAGCGAGCTGCTGCGGTGAGATGGGGGGGTGGATCCTCCTGAGTTCTGGGGAGGATCTGCAGCCCAAGGCCTGGGGTGGGGGATGGGGGAGAGGTGGCCATGATCAGATAAAAGCCTGCTAGAAGGGGGGGGGGTTAGGGGGTAAGGGGAGGGTGATGGAGGGGTTAGGAGGCCAGAAGGTGGGAGGCTGTTGACACAGGTGTCCGGGGATGGCACCTGAGAGGTGAGCCAAGGTCCCCGGGGCAGGTGAGAAAGTTCACGTTGTTCCGAGCAGACATTGCCCAGGGAGAGGAGCAGGTAAAGGCGTGGGAAACCAGGCTGCCAGGCCTCTGCCCTCTGCTCTCCCCTGGGTTCCAACCACGTTTTTTTTTGTAAATTTTTAAAATATATATATTTTATTGATTTTTTTACAGAGAGGAAGGGAGAGAGATAAAGAGCTAGAAACGTCGATGAGAGAGAAACACCGACCAGCTGCCTCTTGCACACCCCTCACCGGGGATGTGCCCGCAACCAGTGTACATGCCCTTGACCGGAATCGAACCCGGGACCTTTCAGTCCACAGACCGACGCTCTACCACTAAGCCAAACCGGCTTCGGCCAACCACATCTTCTAGGCTTTCACCCACCAACCTGGGCTTTGAGGTTGGGGGGTGTGGCCTGCCACCAGTGGGAATGGAGATGTCACTGTGAGACAGACACCCCATTTCGGGGGCCTGGTATCCAAACAATTTTAGTATTTCATTATTTGATTTCTTACATTGATTCCGTGTGGAAATGACGCGTAATAATCTGGCCACTCGGTGTCTATCCTATAGAATAAAAGGCTACTGTGCAAATTGTCCCCTCGACCGGGAGTTTGACCAGCAGGCAGGCTGGCCAACCACCCACGTGCCCCCTCCCCGGCCAGGCTGGCCGGACCCCACCCATGCATGAATTCATGCACCGGGCCTCTAATATATATACACACACTGAGTGGCCAGATTGTTACGCGTTCAGAGATCATCATCATCAGACCACTCAGTGTGTTTGCCAGATGCTTTTGGCATGTAAATCCAAGTCCGCTGATTCAAGGAGGGCCAGACAAGGAAAGAAATCTCTCGCCACCGTCCCCGGTTCCTCAGGGCAGGAAGCCATGTTTCTGAAATGCCACAGGTGGCCGTCACCTCCAAAGAGAGGTCCTCAGTGGCCAGGCCCTGTCCTAAGGGCTTGGTAAATATTAGCTCAGGGCCCGGGAGCCACTCGGGTCCCTTGGTTATGTTTTTACAGTTTTATTTTCCCATCGCCGTTTACGTGCAGCATCGCTGTGTGTTCATTCCAGGTGCACACAGCCGAGCGGTTAGACAACCACACACTTTGCAAGGTATCGTACCCCCCCCCCCGCCCCTTGCCCCCTGATATCTCCAGTACCTGGTTCCATACCTAATTTCTACAACAAATAGAAAAAAAATAATAATAATTTTCTTTCTTTCTTTAAAGTACATTTTATTGACTTTTTTACAGAGAGGAAGGGAGAGGGATGGAGAGCTAGAAGCATCGATCAGCTGCACACCCCCTACTGGGGATGTGCCCGCAACCAAGGTACACGCCCTTGCCCGGAATCGAACCCGGGACCCTTCAGTCCACAAGCCAACGCTCTGTCCACTGAGCCAAACCGGCTAGGGCCCAGCCCAGATCTCGCTGGGCGTGGAGGACTTGTGCTCTCACCGTCTGGGCGCCCATGGTTCGGGAGACGGACAGCTCTCCGTCTTCCGTGGGGTGTGGGCTGAGAGCGCTGGACGGCAATGAGGGCGTCGTCAGGGGACGTGATGCTGACGTCACACCTGCCCCCCCCCCTGCGGTCCTGCCTCCTCCCGCCTCCCAGAGGCTCGGAAAACAGCTGGCATCTCTCGCTGGCACAGGTGCCCTCCTTACCGTCCTCACTCAAGCCTGGAACCCGCCGACGGAAGCAGAGCCTGCTGGGTGGAGGGCATCTCCGTGTTTGGGGGTGCCATCAGGCTTGGCGGGCGTCCTGGCTGAATGGCGCCCCCCCCCCCCCCCCCCCCCCGTGGACCTCCAGCAGGACGGAGGCTACGGGATGCGCCTCCGAACACGCAGGCCTGGGCTCAGGGGACCTTGGGAGGAGGATTGGGAGGGAGTGTCTGCCTGACCCGGTTGCCGGGGCAGCGGGGGCCTCCCGCCCGCCGGGGCCGCCTGGGAGGTGGAGATTAGGCTCGGGGCAGCTGCCGGAGGGTTTCCCTGGCTCCCCACCAGCTCGGGGTGACGCCTTGGAAAGACGGGGTCCGATATGGCCCCGTCCCACAAGGGCCTGGGGGAGAGAGAGAGAGAGAGAGAGAGAGAGGGAGGGAGGAGGGAGAGAGAGAGAGAGAGAGAGGGAGGGAGGGAGGGAGGGAGGGAGGAGGGAGGGAGGGAGAGAGAGAGAGAGGGAGAGAGAGGCGTCACTATGGAAGAGAAACATCTATCAGTTGCACCCTGACTGGACCCGGGACCTTTCAGTGCACAGGCTGCTGCTCAGCCCCCTGAGCCAGGACCAACATCTCCTTTTAGGGGCTACAGTTCAGCTCACAATGGAGAGGAACAGGTGGTTCCACTGCGTTTCTCCCAGGGGACAGCCATCCCCCCGCGCCCCCCCCCCCCCCCCCCCCGGGCTTTCACATGTCAGGCCTACCCATGGCTGGTCATGGTGGTGCCCCCATCTGGACAGAAATAGCAGGACTGACCAAGACCAAATTTGGCACCACGGCGCCCCCTGCTGCCTCGCTGTGGCAAGAGCAGCCTGGCTCCTGCAAGCTACCAGCAACCAGAGACCCTTGGGGATCACTTTTATTTATTTGAAGAATCTTCTCTTTATTTTATTTTATTTATTCTATTTTGTGTTTTTATTGATTTCACACACACACACACACACACACACTCACACTCACACACACACACACACTCACACTCATACACACACTCACACACACACACACACAATCTCCTTGACCTTGGTAGCTCATGGGAGTCCTTCAACCCCACGGACTTCAGCATGTAACACACCAACCCTCGCGCCCCACCCCCACCCCCACCCCTCCGCTCTGTCCCACAGACACAGTCCCACAGGCAGGCACCCACCCACGCCCTCTTGGGGTGCCCAGCCCTTACCAGCTACCCCCACCCGAGCCCCGACCACAGTCACCACCACGGAGGCTGATTTAACAAAACGTGAAATGCCTTTACTTCTAAGGCCTCCCCTTGGTGGGGAGGCGGGAAGTACAACAAAAAAAAGGGGGATTTAAAGAAAAAAAAAAAGAAAGAAAGGAAGGAAGGGAGGGAGGGAGGGAGGGAGGGAGGAGGGAGTGGAGGGGGGGAGGGAGGAAGGAGGGCAGGAAGGAAGGAAGGAGAGAGGAAGAAAGAAAGAAAGAAAGAAAGAAAGAAAGAAAGAAAGAAAGAAAGAAAGAAAGAAAAAGAAAAGGTACAATTAGTCAAATACTGATGCTGGGGGCACAGACTGGCTGGTTGGCTCCATCCCCCCATTCCCCCGGGGACCGAGGTGGCACCAGGAGGGACTGGGGGGTGGGAGGGGGGTGGATGGAGGCCAGCAGCAGGCCCCTGCCCAGGGGGGAGCAGGAGCGCGCAGACAGGAGGGCCGCCCCTCCCCCGAGGGGACCGTCACGCCGTCACGCCACGGCGTCACGCCACGTCACCACTGCAGGAAGTCGCGCACGGCCTTCCAGAGCCTGGTGACCCACAGGTTGACGCCGAGGTCCATGAGGTACTGGATCTCGGGCGTGAGCATGCGGCGGCAGAGCTGCGCGTGGCGCCGGCCGATGCTCTGCTTGAGGTTGTAGCCCAGGATGGACTTGGCGCCGAGCGGCTGCCAGGGCTGCAGGGCGGCGTCGCGGATGGCGGCGGCGTCCACAGCGCGGCCGCCGTCGATGCAGATGCGGCGCATGCGCTCGTTGGCGCGGCGCAGGGCGGCCACCTCGCGGCGCATGCGCTCGCGGCCGAAGGCGTCCACGCGGCGCCAGAAGCTGGCGTTGAAGTGGCGGTAGAGGCGCGCGTCCAGCACGTTCCAGGCGGTGGCGCGGCGGTAGAGCTCGGCCGAGAGGCGCGGCGCGGCCGGGGCGCGGCGCGCGTTGAGGCGGAAGTAGAGCACGTCCTCCAGCTGCCAGCACAGCAGCTCCTTGAGCAGCACCAGGGACTCGTCGAAGTACTCCTGCAGCAGCACCAGGTGGAAGCGGCGCTCCACCTCCAGGATGTGCTCCTGCACGCGCGGGCTGCGCGGGTCCAGGCCGCTGTCGTAGCCCAGGTCGAAGAAGAGCAGGTTGCGCAGGTAGTGCGCGTTGAGGCCGCGCGGGTCGTAGTAGCGGTCGGGCTCCCGCAGGAAGGCGGCCAGCTTGTCCGCGCGGCCCCGCAGCCGCCGCCACGTGGACGGCACCACCGAGCCGAAGTAGTGGAAGGAGGACTCGAACAGGCGCGCCGGGTCGCGCAGCACCGTGATGAAGGCGGCGCCCGGCGCCACCAGGCCGCGCACCTCGTCGTAGTGGAAGCGCATGTGGTTGCAGATGATGTTGAAGCAGGCGCCCGGCCGGTAGCCCTGCACCAGGCGGCGCGCGAAGAAGGCCGGGTAGGCGAAGTCGTTGCGGCCGCTCGGGAAGGCGAACTTGAGCCCGTGCTTCTGGCCGAAGCGGAACAGGATGTTGAGCAGCGTGCTGCTGGCCGTCTTGTGCGTCTTCATGAACACGATGTCCCGCCGCGGCCGGCAGCCCCCCGGGGAGGAGCCGTTGGCGGGCGAGGAGCCGTTGGCGGCCGCCGCTGTCGTCTCGGACTCATCCGGGGCCGGGGAGCAGGACGGGGTGCCCTCCGGGGTCCTGCCGGGCACAGAGAGGGTGGGGAGAGCCTCAGGGGTGCTCAGGGAGGGGGGAGAGGACCTCAGGGCCCGGGGTCCGGGCAGCAGGGGTGTTGGGGACGGTGGTGGCGGGGAGCCAGGATGGGGACCCCATGGGCCTTCCTCCAGGCCGCAGTGCCTGGGCCAGCGCTTTGTTGTTTTTTGTTTTGTTTTGTTTTGTTTTTAATATATCTTATTGGTTTTTTACAGAGAGGGAGAGAGAGAGAGAGAAACATCGATGAGAGAGACACATCGATCAGCTGCCTCCTGCACCCCCCCTCTCCCCCACTGGGGGTGTGGGCTTAGCTGAGCAGCCCGGAGGTGGAAGGAGGTGGGATAGCCTCATGGTTAGGAGGCAGGCTGAGAGGCCAGCAGACCCCCTGTTTGCATCCGGGCCTTGTGCCAGCCAAGGGCTCGTGGACAAGTCACCCCCCTCCCAGCCCCGTTGGAGCTTCAGGCGATAAAAACCCAAGTCTCGGACGGTGGCATCGGATCCCTGTGCCGCAGAAGGCAGGCTCTGTGATTGTACCCATTTCACAGATGGGGACACCGAGGCCCCGGCTTACACGGCGCGTTGTGCCCTCGGTATCGCGTGCACAGTTCAGGGTGCCCCCTCAGGCCCATCCCCACCCCCAGGTCGCCCAGGAGGACCACTCACGTGGATGGCAGGTCGGGGTGCAGCGGGGGGACTGCATACGAGTACAGCAGCAGCAGGAAGCTGGTGAAGAGCGCGCCCAGCACCAGCCCCTTGGCCATGGACTCCCAGCGCTTCTTCTGAGGCGGCGGCATCTCAGACACCTGGGGGGAAGGTGGGGCACACAGCGGGGCAAGCGTCAGGAGGCCGGCCATGGGGGGCGCCCACCCTGCCCCTCGCCTGGCTGGGTGGAGGGCCATCACCAGCTCAGCGGCCCCCAAGCACGAGGCAGAGGGAGACAAACGTGTGGAGGAACCCGGGGACAGGGCTGCAGAGAGAGGCTGGCAACGCCAACGCGGAGAGAAGCCGGAGGGGGCCAGCAGCCGTTCCTGAAGCTCGGTTCCGTGTGTTTGTTGTTCCGTTAATCCTCACCTGAGGACATTTTCCCCGTTGATTTTTACTTTTTTATTTTTATTTTTATATTTTATTGATTTTTTAAAAATATATATTTTATTGATTTTTTACAGAGCGGAAGAGAGAGGGATAGAGAGTCAGAAACATCGATGAGAGAGAATCATCGACCAGCTGCCTCCTGCACACTCCCTACTGGGGATGTGCCCGCAACCAAGGCACATGCCCTTGACGGAATCCAACCTGGGACCTTTCAGTCCGCAGGCCGACGCTCTATCCACTGAGCCACACCAGTTTCTTTTTTCTTCTTCTTCTTCTTCTTCTTCTTCTTCTTCTTCTTCTTCTTCTTCTTCTTCTTTTTTTTCTTCTTTTTTACAGAGAGGAAGGGAGAGGGATAGAAAGCTAGAAACATCGATGAGAGGAAAAAATCAACCAGCTGCCTCCTGCACACCCCCCACCGGGGATGTGCCTGCAACCACTGACCAGAATCGAACCTGGGACCTTTGAGTCCGCAGGCCAACGCTCTGTCCACGGAGCCAAACCAGTTTCGGCTCCCCGTTGATTTTTAGAGAGAGTGCGCGTGAGAGAGGGGGGGGGGGAGACAAAGAGAAACGTCAATCTGGGAGAAACACACCGATGGGCTGCCTCCTGCAGGAGCCCCGGCCGGGGCCCCGGGAGGATCCTGAGGAGGAGCCTGCAGCTGAGGGACGTGCCCTTGACCGGAATCGAACCCGGGACCCTTTGGTCCGCAGGCCGACGCTCTATCCGCTGAGCCACACCAGCCAGGGCGCCTGGTTCGGTTTAATCTTGAAGTGGATGTTTGCTAGTTTACTTTTTTTTTTTTAATTGATTACAGATGGGAAGGGAAAGAAACATCTTTAATATTGCTCGACAATTAATAAAATATATTTTTTAAAAGCCAGTTTCACGGGGTGTCCCGGTGTTCTGCTTGGTTTAGGTGTGGGAGTGGGCGGAGGGCTGGGGCACGGGGAGAGCGTGGGGGCTCAGGGGCCTCCCCGCCCCCTCAGCGGCAAGGCCCAGGTGGAAAACTTTCCACTCCTGTGCGGGCGCCCGTGGCGTGGGGCCCTCGTCCCGGAGGCCACAGGAGGTCACGCCTGCTGCCCCGTAACTACACGCACCGGCACGTCACCACGATCCCGGGGGCCGAGGCCAATAACCCGCCCGGCAGAGAACCCCACATGCTCCCCCCAGAACAGTCACACGAGGGACCCACACACCCTCCCCAAGCCCAGCCCGCCAGCCACAGCAGCCCCGAGCCCTCTGCCCATCATCTAGAAACTTCTCCGCACGGGAAGGGACATAAAGAAGCAATCTGGCCCCGACCGGTGTGGCTCAGTGGATAGAGCGTCGGTCTGCAGAGTGAAGGGTCCGGGGTTCGATTCCGGTCAAGGGCATGTGCCTCGGTTGCGGGCACATCCCCAGTAGGAGGTGTGCAGGAGGCAGCTGATGGATGTTTCTCTCTCATCGATGTTTCTAACTATCCCTCTCTCGTTCTCTCTGTAAAACAGCAATAAAATATAATTTTTTAAAAGAAGAAGCAATCTGCAGCCCTCGCTGGTTTGGCTCAGTGGATAGAGCATAGGTCTGTGGAATGAAGGGTCCCGGGTTCGATTCCGGTGACGGCCACGTGCCTCCGGCCCGGGACCTGGTCAGCTTCGTGCAGGAGGCAACCGATCGACGTGTTCCTCTCACATCCATGTTTCTCTCTGTCTCTCCCTCTCCCTCCCACTGCTAAAAATCAATGGGAAAATATCCTCGGGTGAGGATTGAAAAGGAAGCAGCAATCTGCAGAGGAAGGGACCATACAGGAGGGAAGCTGACAAGTCCCTCTCCACTCGGGGGCGCCAGGTGGATGGGGTCGGGGTGGACGGGTGTGGGAGAGTTTCCAGAAGGCGGAAAGAAACTACGAGTCCCCGAATTCCAACTATTTGAGGGAGCCGCTTGGGGCAAAGTCACAGGTGCAAGGGCGTCATGGCCGCTTGGTCAGAAAAACAAAAAAATTAGGCACAACCTCGGGGCCCCTCACAGGGACCAGGACACAGATGGCCACCCATCTCCCATGCAGTCACTGCACAAACAAAACAAAACACGGCGGAAAGCGCAATGGACTGGCTCACAAGCACACTGCGATGGGTACACGTGAAAAAAGAACATTCCGGAACAACGGCGCCCGCAAGCCCACGCCTGTGCATACGTAAACATATATGTGGGCCCGGGAACGAACAGGTGGAGGGCAGTGTTTTACGTTTTAACCGCGGTGCCCTCTTCAAAGCGGGGTGTGGGGCGGGGATCTATGCAGAAACAGTTTTCTGGGTTTCCCATTTCTGCAAGGGTTGCTTTATTGAAACCCTCCCCTGAGGACTGATTTTATTGATTTGAGAGAGAGAGAGAGAGAGAGAGAGAGAGAGAGATGTGAGAGGAACCGAGCCACCCGGGAATCGAACCCACAACCTAGGTAGTATGTGCCCCTACTTGGTATCAAACCGGCAGCCTTTTGGTGTCTGAGAATACACTCCACAAACAACTGGACCTCCCAGCCTGGACTGTAATGGTTGCTTTTTTTTTTTTAATCATTTATTTGAAAAAGATATTTTTCCCTTTGATTTTTAGAGAGAATGAAGGGGAGAGGGAGAAGGAGAGAGAAACACCAATGTGAGAGAGACACATGGATTGGTTGCCTCCCGCATGCCCTCGACCAGGGCCAGGAGCCTGCCACCGAGGCACGTGCTCCTGGCCAGAATCGAACCCGGGACCCTTCAGTCCGCAGGCCGACGCTCTATCCACTGAGCCCAACCAGCCAGGGCAATGGCTGCATTTTTTAAAAGAGCATGGAGGGCCATTTTAATCAGAAAAAGTAATAAAATATATTTAAATACTAGATCAGAAGCTTATGGGGAGACGGAGGCCGGTCAGGAGGGTCTGGCTGGTCCTGGAGGGGCCCCGGAAGGAGAGGCGTCACCTCAGGTTCTGGGGTTCAGTCACAGGGACCCCGGCCGCCCCTCACGCCGGCTCCTCCTGAGGGGGGCAGGCAAAGCGACTAACACTTCTGCCTCCACTGCACAGCCCCCCCAAAAAAAAACAAAACAAACACCCCACAAACCTGCACCAGGCCTCAGGCGCCCGCTGGGCCTCCCCCCCACCGGGGTCCTGGGCCAGGCCAGCGCCTCAGACTCCGGCCCAAACCCCGAGCGGGGCCTGGGGCCTCAGCTGCCCTGGCTTTGGAAAGGGGGGCTTAGGGGTCCCGCCCTCGGAAAACCCCCAGCTCACCCGTCCGTACCCCGGGCCCCACTCACCAGGGCGCCTTCTGGAAGGAGGTCTGCGAGGCTGAGGGAGCAGCTCTGAGCAGAAGGCCAGGCAGCAGGGGGCAGACCGCCGCTCCCCAGAGCTGTCAATCAGGCTCCGTCTGGCCCCGCCCAGGTGCTCCCAGCCCCCACCGCTGCTTCACTCACTCACTCACTCATTCGTTCATTCACTCTCCCACTGGGGCTCCCTGCAGCCCAGCAGTGGGGGACGGTGCGGGGGGAGCGGGGGGGACGGGGATGGGGGCCTGCTGGCTGCAGGGAGGCGGGTGGGGGGCTGGGCTGTCCCACCTTCTAGGCTCAGCAGCTCCTCCAGAGAATCTCACCGCCTCCTCCCAGCTCCCCTGGGAGGCAGCGCCCACTGTCACCTTCCTTCTGCAGATGGGGAAACTGAGGCTCTGAGAGGTGACGTCACCGGACAAGGCAGGGTTCAGGGCTGGGATGCACACCGCGGTCGGCCAGCCTCCGGAGCACAGCTCCCCGCCGTGAGGTGCGGCCCAGGCCCAGGCCCAGGCCCGGGAGGAAGGACGGAGTGCCGCCCAGTGCCGGCTGTCCGTCCGTCCGGAAGGCCAGAAGCCCGGCAGGCGCTGGCCTCTGAGGGCCCGGCCGGGGCGAAGGTGGGGAGGCAGAGCGGGCCCCGGTGGCTGGTCCCTCCGGTCTCAGCGGCCAGAGGCACCCACGACGGGAGGTCCCCCTCCGTGTCCCAGGCACAACGGACACGACAGCAAGACCAGGGCAGCCAGCACCCTAGGGACCCCTGGCAGAGCCCCTGGTAGACGGAGGCCCGGCGACGGGCACCCTGGCAGCCGGAGCCGGGCTGAGGGGTGTGGAGGTGGGGCAAGGGGGAGGTAGGGATACGAGGCTGCGAATTTCAATGAGAGAATGCGTGGCCACGGGCAGAAGTCAATACCTATTAATTATTATTGTCACTGCTGAGCTGGGGGGGGAGGAGGGCTCCGCTCCGTGCCCAGCCCCAGGCCAACCGGATGGTGATTCAGCCCCGGGCGCTCGGAGCCTGGCACCTGGTGAGTTTTGGCAAACAGACCCTCAGGCCTCTCAGGGCAGGTCGTGGCCAGGGTGGGCAGCACACGCATGAGACCCACGTGTGTCGGGCACACACGGGAAAGTCACACGGCACCAGCCCTTGGGGGGCCAGAGGCCTGGGTTCGAGTCCCAGCTCTGCTGTTTCCTTGCTGGACGCCCTAGGCCAGTGGTCTCTGCAAACTGCGGCTCTGGAGCCACATGTGGCTCACGAGCCGCCGTTTGCCGCTCTGTTGACGAATGAGTTTGCCGACCACTGACCTAGACTCTCCACTCCAATAGTCACAGGCTGTTGTTGTTCCTTGTGATTAAGTCCCTGGGCCAGTGGTCGGCACACTGCGGCTCTCTGGCCCCTGGAGTGTGGCTCTTCCACAAAACACCACGGCCTGCGCTGAGTCTATTCTGAAGAAGTGGCGTGAGAAGAAGTTTACGTTTAAAAACTGTGGCTCTCCAGAGAAATGTCAATCATCGTCCCGTTGATATTTGGCTCTGCGGACTAATGAGTTTGCTGACCGCTGCTCTAAGGCAAGTCTGTGTCCCTCTCTGGGCCTTAAATCTCCTCCAACATGATGAAACCAACTCTCCCTGCATCCCAGGGCGGCGTGCAAACCCCCTGCACCCCCAAAGCTGACATCGCGCCCCTGAGCGGGGCCGCGGAAGACACACTTGCTGGGGGCCTTGGGCACAGAGGTAAGTTGAGGCTGGAGGAGCAGCTGGATCACCAGGGAAAGACGGGAAGGAGAAGGACCTGCAATTGTGGGAGCAGGACAGGGAAGAGCCCCCTTCGGAAATCAAGGTCAAGGGTCTCAGAGCCATCGTCTGCAGAACATCCGTTCCCTGGCGAACGGGCCCCGGTGCTGTTTGCTCAGCGTGCTCGCGGGAACGGGGCGCTGGCAGAGAAAGCGGCGGGGTGAGTGTCCTCGGGCTGATTCCTGTGGCCGGAGAGACTCTCACGGGGACGGGGACGCTGGGAGAGACGTTAAGAGCAGAGCAATAGTGGGGATAAAAGGGAGAGATCCACCAAAGGACTTATGTGCACACATATGAGCCTAACCAGTGGTCAAGGACAATAGTGGGGGTGGGGGCATGAGTTGGAGGGTGGGGGATTGGAATGGGGGGTTGAGGACAAATATGTGATACCTTAATCAATAAAGAAGTTAATAATAAAATAAAAATTTAAAAGCAGAGCGACAGCCCGGCCAGGTGTCGCTCCGTGCTTGAGCTTCGACCCAGGAGCCAAGAGGTCACCGTTCAGTTCCCCTCGGGGCACATCCCGGCTGTGGACTGGCTCCCCAGTGTGGGGGGTGCGGGAGGCAGCCGATCGATGCTTCTCTCTCATCATGGATGTGTCTCTCTCCCTCTTCCTTCTTCTCCGAAATCAATAAAAATATGTTAAAAAGAAAAAAAGAGCAAAGCAATAGGACTCTCCCTCCGGTGCTCAGAGCACATATCTGACGGCAACTATCACAGTCCAAAGTGCCCATCTTTGCCGAAACCGGTGTGGCTCAGTGGATAGAGCGTCGGCCTGCGGACTGAAGGGTCCTGGGTTCGATTCCGGTCAGGGGCATGTACCTTGGCTGCGGGCACATCCCCGGTAGTGGGGTGTGCAGGAGGCAGCTGATCGATGTTTCTAACTCTCTATCCCTCTCCCTTTTTCTCTCTGTGAGAAATCAATAAAATATATTTTAAAAAATACTTTAAAGTGCCCACCCTCAGACCCAGCGGTGGCACAGAGCGGACCCTCACTGAACATGAGCTGCCACCATTGCTATCATCATCATCACCATCACCATCATCATCATCATCACCATCATCATCTCATCGTCCTCCCGGGACCCCAGTCATGGTCCCTTCGAGGTCTATGCCTGCTTGCCCACGATGCAGGCCACTGACAGCCCCAGGTCCAAACCCATAGGACACTGGGGATGACCTCAGTGTAGTCCGAGCCTCAGAGAGGGCAGGGCCACCCTCAAGGTCACACAGCACAGCGGCAGCAGAGACGGGACTAGAACCGGGTCCCCCTCCTCCCCTGCCTACGGCGGCGACAGTCCCGGAGCCACGGGGCCGGCGGTGCCCCTTCCCCAGCCCACCCCCCCTCCTCCTGCCCTTGTGGGTGACCCCGGCCACCTGCCCTCCGCCTGTGCCAGTGGCTGGCCCCAGGCCAGGCCCGGCAGTCCTCCAGCGAGGCTGGACTAGCACCTTTCGCGGAACGAAGGAGAAATAGGACTCACACCCCCCCCCCCCCCCACAGCGGGCACACGGGGAAGCCACGCCAGGGTGGCGAGCCTCCGGCCTGGAGCATCACCACCAGGCGGGGACCGGGGCAGGAGTCACCTTACCTCGGGCCTCGGCGGGCTGGCTCTCCCTCTCCGCTCCCCGCCGGAGCCACATCTGACTCCCAGGCTGCCTCTGCCCGCGGTCACTGGGAAACAGGAACGCTCCAATGACGCCCAGTCACACGCGGGCTGGCTCCCTCCCGCTCCGGCAGGCGTGTGAATATTCATGAGTTCCCTCCCTGGGGACGGCAGGTGGATGTCCCTGTACCCTGCCAGCGCCCCCTCTGCCCCGTGGCCGGCCTCTGACCCTCCCTGCACCTTCACCCAAGGGCTCAGCGAGGTCCCCCGTGTCCTTGGGCCAAGGACACGTGCAGCTGCGGAGCCCTGCAGAGAGCCCGGGACCAGCTCAGAGGCCATGGGAGGGGGTGGGGAGGCTGGTTGCTCCGTGAATCACATCTCATTGAACACTGTCCTGTGCATGGAACACCCACCGCTGTTACCCCACCCCCCGGCGGGAGGGGAAACTGAGGCTCAGAGATGGGTCTTCGCGGGTCCAAGGTCACACACGACAGGGCTCCAAGATGCTGAGACCCGGCCAGAGAAACGTGTCTAAAACCTAGGGGAGCCGAAACCGGGTTGGCTCAGTGGATAGAGCGTCGGCCTGCGGACTGAGGGGTCCCGGGTTCGATTCCGGTCAAGGACATGTACCTTGGTTGCGGGCACATCCCCAGTGGGGAGTGTGCAAGAGGCAGCTGATCGATGATTCTCTCTCATCGATGTTTCTCTCTATCCCTCTCTCTTCCTCTGTGTAAAAAAAAAAAAATCAATAAAATATATTTTTAAATAATTAAATAAATAAATAAATCTGAGGGAGCCCAGAGAGTGGGCAGATCACCCCACAAGGCCTTCTTGAGGGGAGCGCCTGGCCAGGGCCCGGGGGGATGGGTCTGGTGAGACTTCATGAGCTCCGAGTCCTCCTCCCTCAAAGAGGTACAGTACGGAATGCTGTACCTCAGTCCTATTTCTCCTGTGGGAAGGGCAGTGGCCCAGGTCAGCCTGGACTAGGCCTTGAGGGACTGGGGCCAATCGAGATGCTACTGGTTTTTCCCAAGGTCTAGACAGGACGAGGAAATCCCCCTCGGAGGTCAAGGTCAGGGGTCTCAGAGCCATCGGCTGCAGAACATTCGTTCCCTGGCGAACGGGCCCCGGTGCTGTTTGCTCAGCGTGCTCGCGGGAACGGGGCGCTGGCAGAGAAAGTGGCGGGGTGAGTGTCCTCGGGCTGATTCCTGTGGCTGGAGACTCTCCTGGGGACGCTGGGAGAGACGTTAAGAGCAGAGCAATAGCCGAAACCGGTTTGGCTTGGTGGATAGAGCGTCGGCCTGCGGACTGAAGGGTCCCGGGTTTGATTCCGGTCAAGGGCATGTACCTTGGTTGCGGGCATATCCTCAGTAGGGGGTGTGCAGGAGGCAGCTGATCGATGATTCTCTCTCATCGATGTTTCTAACTCTCTATCCCTCTCTCTTCCTCCCTGCGAAAAGTCAATAAAATATATTTTAACAAAAAAATAAAAAAAAGAGTAGAGCAATAGCACGGCCAGGTGTGGCCCCCTGCGTTGAGCATCGACCTAGGAACCAGGAGGTCACAGTCCGACTCCCGGTCAGGGCACAGGCCCGGATTCCGCTGCTCAGTCCCCAGTGTGGGGCGCGCAGGAGGCAGCCCATCCATGAATCTCTCATCGTTGACGTTTATCTCTCTCTTTCCTTCTTCCCTCCTCTCTGACATCAGTAAAAATATATTTTTAAAAAAGAGCAGAGTAATAAGACTCTCCCTCCAGTGCTCTGAGCGCATATCTGACAGCGACTATTGTAAAGTGCCCATCCCCAGACCCAGCGATTCCACCGATGAGACTCCAGCGAGAGATCTGAGACGGCGCACAAAGGTGTACATTGCGGTATTCCTTGGCAAAGGGGAAATTTAGACACAACCTCAATGTCCAACAATGAAGGAAGCTGACACTAAGAAGCCAATCACCTCCTTCTTCCCTTCTGTTAATTCTCCCCCGAGGGTGTTTTCCCCATGGTTGATCTTTTAGAGAGAGCCAGAGAGGGGAGAGGGAAAGACAGAGAGACACATCCGATTGGCTGCCTTCTGCAGGTGCGCCCTGAGGGCCCGGGCCAGGGCGGAGCCTGTAACCAAGGTGCATGCCCTTGACCGGAATGGAACCTGGGACCCTTGGGTCCGGCTCTGTCCCCTAAGCCAAACTGGCTAGGGCTCAATCCCTTCTTTCTTAGCCCCCCAATGACGGAGAACCCTGGAGGTGAGTAGGTGGGAGCTGGCGTTCTCGGCCTCTGTACCTTCCAGCATGACTGAAACGCTTTTGAAAGGAATGGCATGCACTTGTTTGCATAAAAACGTGACACCATATAAAGGCTGTCTAAAGGAGCTGAGCACTCGCTGTCCACATTGCCCTGCCGCCGCCCCCCTGCCTCTCTCTCTGCTCCTGGAGGGGCTGAGGGGCCCTGGCTGCCCTTCCCGGCTCTCCCACCCGCCCACTGGGCTACTTCCTGCCTCTGAGCCCGTTTCCTAAAAAAATGGGGCTGCTGCGACCCTCTCGGGGGCTTGCGGAGGGTCCAACGGGACAGGACGAGGCACGCACAGCCCTTGCACACACCTAGGAGTATCGTCATGACCCTGGTAGGTGAAGCAGGACTCGCCAGTGCCAACTCCTGGAAGGCCAACCTCCCAGCCAAGCACCCAAATTCCCCAGGCTCCAGACCCACGTCCCCCCCCCCCCCGGAGTTCACACCTGAGGTCACATGGGTAGTCAGGACCACCTGGACTTCACACCTGAGGTCACATGGGTAGTCAGGACCCCCTGGACTTCACACCTGAGGTCACATGGGTAGTCAGGACCACCTGGACTTCACACCTGAGGTCGCATGGCTAGTCAGGACCCCCTGGGACCAGGTGGGGGGTGCCCAACCACATCTCATAGCTGCCCCGGAACCAGCAGGCGGGAAAGAAGGCCCCTCTGGGCTCCTCGAAGGGCTGGTCCATGCGCCTCACCAGGTCAAAGCAAAGCGAGAGCGTGCTGCCAGCCCAGCCCCGTGGCTCAGCGGTGGAGCGCCGACCTATGAATGAACCAGGAGGTCACGGTATCGATTCCCGGTCAGGGCACATGCCCGGGTTGTGGGCTCGATCCCCAGTGGGGAGGTGGGCAGGAGCCAATTAATGGTTCTCTCTCATCATGGATGTTTCTATTTCTTTCTCCCTCTCCCTTCCTCTCTCAAATCCTTGTTTTAAAAAAAGAGCCTGCTGGTGCCATGCCTGGAATTCCACCATCTGTGCCTCCTTCCCCCAGTTAATGGCCTCTCTCGCCGGGTGGCACCCCAGGCAGAGGGAGGGCCCCTCAGGGACACACGCCTCCCTCGCTGGGCGGCACAAGGGCATCAGACCCAAGCTCTCAACCACCAGACCTGGCCCATCGGACGAGGGAATGTGCGGGAAGCAGGTGCTTCCTTCAGGCAGGGACCTGCCCTAGAGCAGCCGGGGACCAACTGCCTGAGGAGGCAGCTGGGAACAGGCCTCTGTTGTCTCTGCTCCCTGCGTAGCAGCCCGCCCGAGTGTCAGGCAGAGCTGGGAGCCAGGGACTGAGGCAAGGGGGTGGGGGTGTGGGGCAGCCCAGACAGCTTCAAGAGGCTCAGACCCCAGAGAGGGCCCCCGAAGTCTTGAGTGGAGCTGAGATCCTGAGATTCGGGCTGGGGCAAGACTCCTAGGCAGCCAGCTTTGAACTATGTGACCTTGGGCAAGTCCCCGTTTCCCCTAGGGATAACGGGGACTGTTAGCCACGTCTGCTTTGCAGGGCGAGGCGGAGCCCAGCAGCCTCGGGGCTGGTCCGGCCCTCACCCTCTCTGGGCCTCTGGTCACTCCCTCCGTAAAGGAAGAGGCTGGATTCTCCCCGCCGGACTGTCCTCCTGAGGATTTCCATGGCACCTGTCACCTCAGCAACCCAGGCGAGATCGGGTGTCAGGCCTGTCACCCTCCCTCCCCAGCTCCCTCCCTCCCACCCACCCGTCTGGGTTATGGCTGCCAGGGGGGCACCCATCACCTCTCCGCTTCCAGGCAGCGGGGGAGAGGGTTCCCACGGGGGAGGACCTCGGTCTCGCTCCCAGCTTTTGCCACAGCTGGCTTGCTACCAAGCTGGTCCCCCTGGGAGCTGCTGGATTTCCTGGGGACCCCTCCTGGAGACCAGGGTTAGTCCCATTCCCACGAGCCTCTCCTGGGAGGCCTGGCCCCTCAGTGGCACAGGGCGGGGCCTTCTCCAGGCAGAGGGGATTCCCCGCCCCCACCCCCACCTTATCCAGGTCCCCAGCCCCTGCTCTGACAGCCCCTCCAGGGGGAAGGCTGGGGGGCAGAGGGGAGATTCCTGCTTCTCCTCTGAGCACTGGCTGCCATGCCAAAGATTAATCATTAATGGACTGCCAGCTCCAGCTCCAGCCCCACCCGTCCCCTGTGCACCACCGACTGGGGAACCCTGGGAATGGGGACCCTAGGAAGAAACCAAGGGCGGGGTGAGAACCCCCCTGCACCCTCCCAGGCCCCAGCCCTTGCACTGTAGCTGAGCGCGCCCCTAAACCACTCGAGGGGGGGGTGGGTCTGAGAGTCCGGTCTGACTCGCAGTCTCCATTGGGAGGCTGGGGCGGCGAGGCAGGGTGCCAGCTGGTGGTGGGTGCTGCGCCCCCCAATAGGTACGTACCTCGTCCCCGTCCTCCTCCTCGGGTTTGGCTTGAAGGCTGGGCCCGGGCCGCGCCGCCCGGGCGCTTACTCGGCGGCGGCGGGGCGCACCCACCGGCGCCCCCTGGTCCGCCGGGCCTGGGCCATGCTCCCGCCCCGCCCCCAACGCCGCCCGCCCGCCCGTCCGATCGCCCGCCCGCCCGCTCGGCCAGGTGCGGCCGCAGCCTCGCCCGGCCCCCGGCGGCCCCGCAGCCAATGGGCGCCCCGGGCCTGCGCCCTCCGGCCCCTCCGCGCCCCTCCCGGTCCCTCCGGCCCCTCCGCGCGCCCCGGGCGCACAGAGGCCGCTTTCAGCAGCGCGCCCCCGCCGGCGGCCCAACAAGGCGCGTTTGTCCCGGACGCGCCAACGGGGCCATTGTCCCGCCGCCGGACCCTGGGGCTCTGCTGAGCTCCTCGCCCGAGGGGATTCGACGGTGCCTGGGGGACGGGGTGGCGTGGTGGTGGTGGTGCGGGCAG